TCTTACCGCTTTCTGTGCTTTTCTTTTGTAGAACGTTGGCTCAGCGTAAGTGATCTCTTCCTTACGAGTCTCAACTGTTTAAACAGTAATGACAGATGGATTAAAATATCAAAATCTTAAGTAGCTTATTTTTTTTCACACATTATTATTGGGCATTAAATGCCATTTTAAAATGTCATTAATTTAATTTGAGATTTATAACTGTTTCTCTCTCTCTCTCACACACACACACACACACACAATTAGAGAGGAGAGTCTCAAGCAGCGTATGTGCTTAACAAAATTAAGAAATACATTCTTTGCAAATAATTTATAAATGAAACCCAGGTGAGATGTCATTTGCATTCTTTTTATGGCAAAATTTATTTTTCTTTGAAGCTCAATAAGGAAAACACAACCAACAAAAGCAAACGGGTCATTGTTAGAAATCATCTGAACACCAGCAGAAGACTGCAAAAATATGTTCATGAAAAGTGGAGAAAATTTGTTTTATTATTGAATAATGCCGATTTGCATTTCTGTGTTTCAAATGTGTTTTGATGCAGTTTGAGAAATGCAAAATCTGTCTTTGTGCAAAAGAGACGAGTAAATTATGCATTATGCATGTATTCTGATATGACTAAAATACAGAAATTGCCTAACCCAATAAACTACACATTATTTTGGACTATTAATCGACAATTAATCAAGTTATGCTTTTAAAATAAGATAACACTTGCCTTCTTGATCAGTTTTTGTGCATTTCTTGCAGATCCAAAAGATCACAACTACAGCTACAATCAACAGAGATCCAGCAGCAGCAGAAATCAACACTATGTACAGTACGGGTAGACCCTGATCTGTAATGGACAAAATTTAATCTGTCCGTTTTACCCACAACAAACACTATGAAACAACAGCACTGTATAACTTCATAGAGCAGCTCAGTTAATAAATGTTAATATCAACACCAGCATACCTGAACATGTGTGACAGAGTTCAGTAATGTTGAGGTGTTGAGTCTGGTTGCTGATGGGATTGTTGAGCACACAGCTGTAGGTGTTTTTATCCTGATATTCCACCTCCAGAGGTAGAGAGAGACTGATGCTGAGATCAGACACACTGATGCTGGACAATAAACTGTTTCCTTTGTACCAGGAGAGAGTCACATTCACCACATTCACCACTGAACACAGCAATGAACAATTCTGCTGTGATGATGATGATGATGATGAAGAAGAAGAACAGTTTGTTACAGAGTTACTGCTGATGACAGGAACAGACAGATTAGCTAAAAAGAAAAACACGACAGAATAAACAGAAATGTGGATAATGGTGTCTGATCAAACATATATTTTTTTTATTTTGCAGTAAAGGGGTCTTATCAAACAAATATTTTTTTTTTTTTTTAATATAAAATTTTAAAAAAAAAAAAAAAAAGCTTTCTACTCACCATAGACATAAACACTGAATGTTTTTGATGACCGTTTAGCTCCGCTTATCTCTAGTTTGTAAAGTCCAGCGTGTTCAGATGTGGTGTTTGTGATGGTCAGAGATCCAGTTTGGTTGTCCAGCTTCAGTCTGTCTCTGAATCTCCCATCAGGAACATCAGATGTGTTGAAGATTCCAGGATATCTCCTGATTTGAGCTATCAGAGACATTTTCACTCCAAATTTCCACAGTATGTCATCGTCTTCAAGTATTTCAGTGTCATCAGTGTTCAGAGTGACAGAATCTCCCTCCATCACTGACACTGACTCACCAAACACACCTGATGAACATTAAGAGATTTTGTCCCAATTTATAATGCCTTTTTTTTTGGCTTACAAAGCCTGCAGTCAGTTTGTAATTTGTTTGTAATTGTAGTTTGTAAACTTAAAATGTGAACTGAAGAACATCCAGAACAGCAGCACAGTGACATCTATATTTAACAGATGTGTGAGCAATGTGCTTTATTAAATGTACCTGCTGTAGAGCAAAATAAATGTGTGCAGTTTCAAAACCTGTTTTTTTGCACCTTGAAAGTTTAAGTTTAATTCTTAATTTATATATGGGGTATTTTGATCCGTACATCAAATGAGCTCCATAAAGTATAAAGGTGTATAAAAGGCTTGTATAACTTACCAGTCATCCACCAGCACAAAAAGAAGATGTGAAACATTTTCTTCAGTGGTTTTGTGTCTGATCTAAAAGACTAGCTCCTAAAAAAAAAAAAAACACTCAAGCTAGTGTGACCCTCCCCTAACAGAGTTTGACCCTCAATATGCACACACACATGCATCAGAATATTATACATTATTATATAAATGATTATATTTATATAATGATCTTCTGGCTCTTATTTAGACTTTAACTGTTGTTGATGGTGGAAAACTATTTTTATCAAATGGAATACACTGTTATAATTTAACAATGTTAGTTTTTGGAAGTTATGTCTGACTGTGTTAAATAGTAAAATAGTGTTCCATTTGTGTAATATTGAATTTAATCCTAAAACAAATCTTATGGATTTAAAAATGGTTTTGAAATCAATCAGTTGTTGTGAATTTTAAACGCAGTTTGCAATCTTTTACTGAAGTGTGACACAAGCAGTTCAACATCTGAGTCAAACTGAAACTGCGGTCAATTCTTCATATTCAGAAACATGGTGTGAACTGTTGGGTGGACAGGAAAGTGGCCTTTTTTTTTCTTTTCTTTTTTTCTTTTTCTTTTGAGGTGTGTTTAGTTTGTGGGTTAAGGGCTTCTTCCTGTCCTGCTGTTGTGAACCTCAGTCTCACTTCCTTACTACACAGAACAGCTTTAAAATAAAATAAAATAAATCCATCAACGCTGATATTTAAAAAAAAGTACTCATAGGTCAGAGGTCTAACAGGATGCTTACCTCTCATGCATAACTGCTAAAATACACAGCTGATTATGCATCAGTGTTATATATATATATATATATATATATATATATATATATA